TTTCCCAGGCCATAAATCTTTGCAAGAGCAGACAGCCTCATCTTTCCCCAAGGAGTGGCTTGGGAGGTTGAACCAGTGATTTTGTGGTTAACAGTCCACTGTTTACACTATAGTGTCACCAGATAAGGTGGGCACAGGCGGGCCTGAATCCAGAGGTTGACTTTTGGGCCTAGAAAAATATCTTCCTTTCTCAGAAGACCAAGAGACCATGCAGCGTGAGAAGGATGGGATCTTCGAAAGCTTAAACCTCTTATTGTAGCTAAGGAGCGTGGGGCCCAGGGTTCTCGTAGACAATGCAGGTAAGAGGAGGTACACCAATTAATGGCTCTGGGGGGGCCCATTTGACATCTGTGACAGCCTAGCTTTAGGGAGCAACTTTTTAGTGTAGATTTGCAGGAAGTCTATCTGTGTCCAGATTTGAGTTACATGATGATAAAGGAATATGTTCTCCATACCAAAACAAAACAAAAACATTCTAATTCATTAATTTCATGATTTTTCTGTTTCCCCTTCAAATTTATATTAAACTCTCCCCCACCATAATTCTGCTAAAGGATTGGGGGTGAAGCGCGGGGAGTTGGAATATGATTAGTTTGAGATGTTCTATACAAAGACTGGAGGAACCCTGGTCGCGCAGTGGGTTATGTTTTGGGCGTAACCGAAAGAAACCTCAAGGTCCACAGTTCAAAACCATCAGCTGCTCCATGGGAGAAAGATGAAGTTTTCTACTCCTGTAAAAAGCTACAGTCTCAGAAACTCACAGGGGCAGTTCTACCCTATGATATAGGGTCACTGTGAGTCAGAATCAAAGACAAGGAGACTGGGGACTTAATGGTTAAATCACTTGCTACTTACCAAAAGGTCAACTGTTTGCCACAACTTTCTGCTTTAGGGTTCAATCTGCTTCCATAAGAAGGTACAGCTTTGGAAAACCTGCAGGGTAGTTCTAGTCTACTATCTCCCAAAGCCAAACTCACGCCCACCAAGTTGATTCAGAGTCATAGTGGCTATAGGACAAGATAGAACTGCCCCTATGGATTTCCAAGATTTTAAACTCTTTACAGGATAAGAAAGCCCCGTCTTTCTACCTCAGAGCAGCTGGTGGCTTGCGGTTACCCGGCTACCGGCCCAGCGTGTAACCCATTGTGCTCCCAGAACTCCGTTCTATTAGTCAAAATCCACTACAAGTCAGCGGGTGATTTGGACGCAAAGGGAAAGAGCAATATGGTAAGGTGGGGCTGAGCACCCCTAGTGGCCAACCTCTATCCACAGGGTTAGTCAGACAGCTGGTTGGGGTGGCCTCTTCATGAATGGAGGTGAGGGCAGTTTTGATTGATGTTTTATTCTCAATAAAGGCAATTCCTGTGAATCACTTTCCCTTATATCATCCTAAGTCTTGTGGCCTTGTGAGTAAATTTACCCCTGCTCTCTACATCTAGCCTGTTACTATCCAGTCCAGAAAAGTCTGTAGGAAAATGAATCCAGAGTTTGGAAATCTTGTGTAAGTCATGCCATCTGCCCGTGTGTTCCCTGTGGTCATTTCTAGAACGCTATTTAATCAAAGTGGGGAAAAGTGATTATTATTCTACAGCTATTTTCGTGTTAAGAGTACTAACATCACATCATCAAAGTTTTGAGAAACAAAGACTCATCATCTCATTGTTCTCCCACTAGGTACCCATGTTACTCCTACTAGTACTTCGGGGTGGTTGCATTTAGGCTTATATGCTGTGCAGCAAAAGTAGCACTGTAAAAATGAATATTAAATTCTAAGCAAGAGAGGGCATTTTGGGACTCTTGATACTCCCACATCTAGTACTTTCCAGATTGCTGTGGCGAGCTTACATGGTTTCCCATGAAGGCATTCACCCGTCTTCTGCCCTCTGATTGGGCACTAACCTGAGATATGAGCTCTTCAGCATCCTTACCACTGTTGACAAAGAACTGGGGTGGTTGCTGGAAGCTGGAGTAGGGTGGGTTTCCAGGCCCTTTGCCTTGGTGATTTGGACCAGTCAAAAGCATCTGAAGAGATGCTGTTGGAGATTAGCCAAACCACTACTTGAGTAATGAACTCAACTCAGAGGCTGGTGAAAAGGCCTTTCTGGTAAGGAACCCAGGTATTGGCTTGTCATAATGTGGTGCTAATTCTAGGGAGAATAGGAAAGTGAAATGAGTTTCCTGAAGTCTGTGAAGAGAGCTGCGATGAGGAAATACGGCTTAATAAAGGGCAGCAACTCTGGAGTCCCATTGACCTGGATTTGAGTCCTCTCTGCCTTGTTCTGATGGTGCAATCTTATGCAAATTGTTTCACCCTTTTAAGTGTCAGTGTGTGGAAAGTATGTGATCAAAGGTCAGTTAAGAAAAGAAAGGAGGGAGGAAGATCTGGTTACACTTTGGGCAAATAAACTTCACTAAACCACACTTTCTCATGTATAAAATGGGCTTGATAAGGGTAATTAGTTCATAGTATTATTCTAAGAATGAGACAAGACTATGTGCAAAGCCTAGCATTTATGTCTGCCAAGTGGTTCAGGCTAAATAAGTATCTCTCCCTTAGTACCAATAACTCCAGTTACCGTTGCTGCCTCCTGCTTGCTTGTTTCACATTTTGCTCTTCCGAAAAATTTTCTTTTAGCCCTGGCAGCGTCGTAGTCTCTGCACTGAACTGCAAGGTCAGTAGTTTGAACTCACCTATCATTCTGCAGGAGAAAGATGAGTCTGTCTGTTTCTGTAAAGAGTTAGTCTTAGAAATTCAAAGGTCTCCACTGCCCTTTAGGGTTGCGATTAATGGAATCAACCCTATTTCACTGAGTTGGGGTTTTTTGAGTATTTGGGGGTAACAGTGAGTCTTCTTTAGAATAGTTATCAGATATAAAGTGGAAAATGGAATTTTTCTCTAGCATAGATCCTGACAAGACGTTCTCTCCCAAAGGGAGATCAAAAGCACGAGATATGACAACTGACCCGACACCTATCATTCATCTACCAATGGTTATTGATCCCTATTCTGAACTAGGCACTGGCACAGACACTGGTTCTGAAGGAGCAGTGTCAGCTCACCCAATTGCAGGTAAGCATGTGCGATTACATCACTAATCTTTAGTGAACAGTGCCACTTTTTGGTAAACCGCATCAAAGGTTCTGTGTCTAGGCATGGTAGTCATTTTTCCCTCTCTCCCAACCGCACAGCACCTTCCAGCAGAATCAAAAATCTTTTTTTTCTTTTAAAAATCATTTTATTGGGGGATTGTACAACTCATCACAATCCATACATCCATCCATTGGGTCAAGCACACTTATGCACTTGTTGCCATCATCATTCTCAAAACATTTTCTTTCTACTTGAGCCCTTGGTATCACCTCCTCATTTTATCCCCTCCCTCATGAACCCTTGATAATTTATAAATTATCATTATTTTGTCATGTCTTACACTGTCCGACATCTCCCTTCACCCACTTTTCTGTTGTCTGTCCCCCTGGGAGGGGGTTGTATGTAGATCATTGTGCTCGGTTCCCCCTTTCTCCCCCACTTTTCCCTTCCCCTCCCCCTCCTGGTATCGCTACTCTCATTATTGGTCCTGAGGGGTTTATCTGTCCTGGATTCCCTGTGGTTCCAGCTCTTATCTGTACCAGTGTACATGCTCTGGTCTAGCCGGATTTGTAAGGTAGAATTGGGATCATGATATTGGGGGGGGGAGGAAGCATTAAAGAATCAAAAAATCTTTTCCAGGTTATAATCCCTGACAGGGATAGAGTACCCAGTCAGCAAGGTAAGCCCAGACTGATTTGTATTTAAGCACAAATAAGTACGTGCAAAAAACAAACAAACAAACAAAAAAACCCAAATAAGTCCGTGCTTGCTACTTACTGGCATCAAGTCAAAGATGAACCATGTTTCCTGTTCCCAAGCATCTCA